AACTCTGGGGCAGGAGGAGAGCTCGTAGCCAGGCTGCCATCGCGGCCTTACGGGTGTCTGTGTCGCTGAGTAGGATGTCAGGTACCGCTCGATCAGCGCAGCAGAGGGCGGGCATGTAAGAAAATGACGCGAGTGAACGATTTTCTGTTTTGCAGACCTCTTCTGCACGTCTGCCAGGCACTGTTATTCCTCCTCCCTTGGTCCGTGGAGGGCAGCAGACTTCTTCCAAATTAGGAACTCAGCAAAACACGCAGATAGTAATGCCACCTCTGGTCAGGGGAGCACAGGTGAGTATTTACCTTGTGCTAGATCCGCTCCGGTTTGCCTTAATGCATCTTAACTGTTCTCTTAGCCGTCTTTCTGCTGGTCTGGAGGGAGCTTGTGAAGTTCTTGCTGGAGTTTCTGAATGCGGCTACGTGTGTTGCTACTGAGAGACCCTGAATCATTCCGGTTTTGGGTGTTGTGCTCTCCCTTAATGCTTCCAGTGTAGCGTGAGAAAATCCTGTGGTGATGCAGGCCGCTGCCTTACCTGCATAGCTGCTTCCCTTAGCTGTGCCAAAGCAGTTTGTTTTGCCTTGATTATGGAAGTTCATTTACAGGCTTCCAGCTTCACCCGCTTTCTAGGAGAGCGGCAGCAGAGGAAATGGAACACGATCCCTCGTTCTTCCATTTTTTCCCCTCATTATTCTTTCTGTCATATCAATTTCACCTTTTCGAATGCTAAAACTCGGGGTTTTTTCCTCATTGTGTCTGTCTTGCGATGGAACAAGAGGTGTGAAATGAGATAGTCGAGTGGCAGTCTGAAAGTGCTGCTTTGCAGGGCCTTTATCACCTGTAATGGAAGATAGTGGTGTCGCTAAAGGAGTAGGAAAGCAATGTTCAATTTGATATGGTCATCTGAAGTTATGACTTCTGTGGGATACCAGAAAAAAAAGATTTCCTTGTTAAATGAAGATTTATTTTGCAGTGAAAAGTCTGCTTTTATCTGTTGCACAGCCAGCATTAAGGAGGAAGGAAGAGATTTGGTATTTCATTTTCTTTCTGTTCTGATTATGGAGAAAACCTCATTCTGAGAAATAGCTTTCCTAATGCCTTTAAAATGAAACAGGCTTAACAGCTATACATTTTGAAAGAAATTCGACTCGGAAACTTAGGTTTTTTGGCACAGCTGTTTTGGCCATAGCGTGATGGCCTCACGTACGAGCATCTCGTTTCACGTTGCGTTCTACAGGTTTCATTTTGACAGCGGGAGAGGGGAAAACATCCCCTAGGACACGGATGTTAATGATCACGCTTTCTTTGCGTTCCCTGCCTTGCCTCATTTCCACTGTCTCTTACCATCCCATCCGACTCCCACGACTTACTTCCCGCTATCTAATCCTCCCCATCGTTCATGGCACCATCGCATCAGCCCATTTCTGTGTCTTCCCAGCAAATCCACAACATCCGACAGCACTCCAGCACGGGGCCGCCTCCGCTGCTGCTGGCGCCGCGGGCGTCGGTCCCCAGCGTTCAAATTCAGGGGCAGCGAATTATCCAGCAGGGGCTGATCCGCGTCGCCAACGTCCCCAACACCAGCCTGCTGGTCAACATCCCGCAGGTGAGTGCCGGGAGGTGCCTTGTGCCAAACCTGACGTTCAGAGGAACAGAGGCGAGCGGTTGTAATTAAGGATCGTTGGGTTACTGCAGCTAATTGGTGTGGCCTGCTGTCGTCTGGCCGACGTGGTTGCTTGTTACTGCTGCTTCCCGCGCAGTCCCTTCCTCTGCTCCTTCACCTCCTGTACAGAGGAACGAAGGAAAGCGTTACAGAGCGTTGGGAGCACAGACACGTTTCGGTGAAGTGAAATTTGTGCCTCGTTTCACATTCGGTATTTCGGTATGAAGCTGTCCGTTAGAATTACATTTTTTTCTCTCTCTTCCTTAAGCATGAACAAGTGTTCTGGTAAAGAGCTCAAACTGGGCTAGCGCTCCTGTTTGAAACACCAGGAGATCCTGGAGCAGCACCTTAACATCCGCCACCGACACTGGCGTACAAGTGCTGTAGATAAAGGAAACGAGTTAAAGGCAGTGCTTTGACTAAATCATAAGGAAGAAGACTCCTTTTTCTTTTTTCTTTGTAAAACTGCCTTATAAAAAATGATCAGTAAAGAAAACCGAAGTTCTTTAGCCAAAGCATTAGAGCGTTAGCTGACAGGTCCAGCGCTGCAGTGCGTGTCTGTTGGGTCACCCCCCGAAGTACGGCTCCGCGGCAGCGGTTCGGTGCGGCCCCGAGCAGCCGGGCTCCATCGCGCACACGCAGCCCTGCGCCGCCTCGGAGCCGGCGCCGCTTCCCTCCCGCTCGGTGGAGAGGAGCGCGTCCCTCGAGTGCCGAAGCCCCTGGGGTTCGTCGCTGAGCTGTGTCGTGTTTCCTCCCAGGCTTCACCAACTTCCATCAAAGGTACCACCGTGACATCGGCTCAGGCGAACGCTACCACGACCAGCGCCGCTTCCATCGTCAACTCCAACGACTCGCCGGCCAGCCGGCAAGCCGCCGCCAAGCTCGCCTTGCGGAAGCAGCTGGAGAAGACGCTGCTGGAGATCCCTCCTCCCAAGCCGCCTGCGCCGGAGATGAACTTCCTCCCCAGCGCAGCTAACAACGAATTTATCTACTTAGTCGGGTTGGAAGAAGTTGTGCAGAATTTGCTGGAAACTCAAGGTGAGAGAGCTGTAACAATGGTCCTCAAAGGCGAGGGGAGGATCTTTCCCCTCTGGACTTTACCTCAGTGGCAGGCAGCAATGAGTTGCAGGCGTTGCAGGGTTAAATTGCCATACCCTGTCAAATCTAGCTTTCACTTCCTTTAGTCATTTCAAACTGTTTCATTTAAAATTCTAAAAAAAATTCCACAAAATGATGTTACGATTTCTCATAGGCTAGACACTGATCGTAATGATTTCCCTAAAACACATCCAGTTCTCCCCGGAGCTCTTCGCTTCCCATCAGCCCCTCATTTGTCCATCCCCACTAAATTCTCCAGCCAGTATCTCAAGAAGTATCTGCTGGCTAAACTCCACGCTCACAGAAGTAAAGAGCTTAAAGATTTAGGAGTGCAAAAGGCTTCAGACTGAGGAGAGTTAAGGGTGGAGGGTTTGCTTTGGGGTGGTTTTTTAATGCTGGAATGTTCTTGAGGTTTCTCAAGTGTTAATCGTTCATAGAAGTCACAGAGGGAGCTGAGCTGAGCTGGCTGTGTTCCCAGGTAAAGTGTCGGTTCCTGTATCATCTCGCGAGCCCTACATGTGCGCTCAGTGTAAGACTGACTTCACCTGCCGCTGGAGGGAGGAGAAGAACGGAACCATCATGTGTGAAACCTGCATGACATCCAATCAGAAAAAGGCCTTGAAAGCGGAGCACACTAACCGACTGAAGGCTGCCTTCGTCAAAGCGCTGCAGCAAGAGCAGGAGATCGAGCAGAGGATACTGCAGCAGACGGCGTCTCCCGTGCAGACCAAGTCAGACCCTATCGTGCAGCACCACTCGCTCAAGCAGGTACGGCTCCACCAGCAGCCAGGAGCTTGGTGACGGTGGGACAAGGGTCCCGCAGCTCCACGCGCAAGGGTTGGGGGTGCAGGCGTGGCACCCGTGCGTGAACTTGCTTTATTTAAGCCTCACAGTGTGTGTGTGTGTGTTTGGGCGTAAGCTTAAAAACCGGGCTGGTGAAAGTGGGTTTTGGTCACCTGATAATTAAGGTACGTTTTGAAGAGCAGAAGAGTGGTGTTTTTCTGCAGAGTCCCTGTAGTCATCCAGGGTGTTTAACTCGTACCCTGCAAAGTCTGTCCCTGAATTTTTTGAGGATGCACCAAACGGAACGAGGTGCTCCAGCACCTGACACGACAGTAAATGGACCTAAGACAGGGAGAAAAAAAAAAAAAAAAGCTTGAGCCAGCAACACCTCATGTTCCTGGTGAAGTTTTAAGGTGGATGGTAGCAACCAGCCACGACAGAGAGTGGGTCTGACGCACCTTGTAAACCCACCTTTCGGTTGGAGGAAGGCGGAAACTGCCTAAGTGCTGCTTTGGGTTGAAATAATCGAGGTGCCGGTTATTTAGGACAGGGAAGTCGCGTTACCTGCGTCTGGCGGTGCTGACACCGCACGGTTTTTGCCACTTTGCAGTTGATTGCAATTCCTCACCCTTACGGGTGCTTTCAGAAGCAGAAAGCTGATCCTTCTTTTGTTGTAGAGATGTCTCGGAGGTTTGCAGCCCCAAAACTACAGTACTGCCTTCCAGACGGGGCAGAAGCCCAGAGAGGAGGGGGGCGGGGGGCGGTAAAGGTTCATGGAGGCTGTTGTACTTGAGAGACGGAAGGCTGCTATGCCTCTCTCACCTTTGCTCTCTTGCCAGACTTCTAGCCAGATGTCTCGAGGTCCTCCTGGAGCTCCACGAGGAGTGTTGCATGCATTTAGCCAGTCACCCAAGTTGCAGAATGCATCGTCTGCAGCAGCACTTGGGAGTAGGCCAGGTAAGCATGCTGAGAGACCTGTCAGCAAGGGCAGCGCTGCCGCCTGGAAGAAGACTCCCATCAATACAGGTAGATTTTTCTCTAAAGTTTCTTTTCTTTGTACTTACTAGCTGCACTCTGTCCAACAATCATAGCTCTTGGGGTAAGGACGCTCTCTTTGACACTTCCTGCATGAAAGCCCGACGATACCGAGGCTTTGCTCTCCGTATTGTGGTTGGCACTCGCTCTTGGTGGGGTTTGTGCTCATCAAAAGGGGCAATCAGGTGGTGCTGCCAAATCAAAACTGCTGCTTTACACATTTCTGAATAGAATAAATAGATGTCGTGTCAGACGGTGGATCTTTGGGTCCGTCTGCACAGCCAGCACCGCGCTGCGGGAGTTTTGTCGTTCGTTTCTGGGAGTTTAATTCGGTCGTTTGATTTTGGCTGGTGGTTTCTCTTTGCTGAAAGCAACGTACAGCAAGTAGATGGTTTTGCTGGAGGTAAGGCCACAGTGAGCACTCCGAGCGTTCCTCAGGGTTTGAAATAACTGAAGCTGTTGCTTTGAACAAATGGAAATTATAAATTCTAATCAAATCTTTTCTTTGAATGTATAAGAATTTGACTTGAGTCATTTGTGTTCCTAAATGATTTGGATCTCCAGGAAGGAAACGCTGTAGCAACCAGCTCTTTTGTGATCTGCTTTCTTGCCCAGTATTGAATGGATTTCTTCTGATATTTTTTTTGTTTTAATTTTTATTCCTGACAGCTTAATTTACCATTTAAAATGTAATTTCATTGCAGAGAGCTCTAGCCTGCTCAAATCTTCATTTCTGGTACAAAAATCTTGCTCCTGTTTGTTCAGATGATTTTGGAAGCTTTCGTCTTCTGAAGGTGTCTGACCTCCGTGGCCATTAGTGCCCCAGGCCTAGATGACCCACGCTTAGATGATCCGTTTCCACGCGGGGGAAATGCGAGTAGCGGGGCTTTGCCGCTGTTTTCTCCTGTTCATATCCTGCTGTGACGCTTGTTCTCTCTTCTCTTTGATTTCTCGTCAGGTGGGGCTTTACCTTTTGTTAATCCTAGTCTAGCTGTGCACAAGTCCTCTTCAGCAGTAGACCGCCAGCGTGAATATCTCCTGGATATGATTCCCCCACGGTCCATCCCACAGTCCGCCACGTGGAAATAATGCAGAGGAATGCCCGAGAGGAAGACTTTCCTGTTTCTGCCATCCTTTTTATACCACATTACAGTGGAATCTGCTTTAATCCCAGCTGGATACGCCCCAGGCTTTCTAGGATGCAAGAAGACCACTCCTCATCCCATCAAGTGCTGCTGTCCCTGCTATGAGAAAATGACACCACGTGGGTGGGAAAGACTCAAGCTCATTTGGTTCTCAGATTCCGATGATTGACTGATGATGAAGGCTGTCGGGGAAGGGGAAGAATTTTTTTTTTTTTCTTTGGCTTTATGTATTTAGTTCGGATTTTTTTGTCACCAGCACAAAAGGAGGACTAAACGACTCTCTGCCTTCGGTTTCTTTATTAATAACTACCCATTCACCAGGAACGTGGTGTTCGTTCGCGATCGAGCGTGGATGTCAGCGCAAGGAGAGTGGAATTTCAACCCGATCTTGCAGATGCATTTAGTGAGCCGAGTTCATGTTTGCTTTTCTTCCCTGCCCCTCCTCCAGCCAGGAAGGCAGTCTACAGTTTATAATGTTTCCAAATCTTCTGATGATGAGCTAATGATAAATAAGTGCAAACTCAAATTCCAGTTGAGTATGGTTTTCTTTTTCTAAGGGACTGGTTGCCAGCAAAACTTGTCTGGTAGGTGGGAACCGGTGCAGGAGTCTCTCACTTTTGTTGGATTCTGTTTCGAATAGACTTTGAACCGTTGGTAGTCGAAAAATCTAATTTACGGAATAGACAGACACCTTTGTTCGGTCTTTCTAATTCAGCGAAGAGCAGTTGGGCCTTTCGTATGTTCCCAGAGACTTAAAAGCGAAACTGTTTTTGATTATTTTCTTTTTGGAGGGTTTGGTTTGTTGGGTTTTTTTTGTTGTCGTTGTTTTGAGGAATTTTACTTAAAAAAAAAAAAAAAAAAAAAGAAAAAACCCACAAAACAAAAAAAATAAAAAACGGGAATTCCAGAAGCTGCACGCGATCAGAAAGGGCGAGTGGAGGGAGCAGAGGCCCGGGAGGCTGCCGGGAGGCCCCAGGCTCCGTCCTCCGCCGATGCCCGCCGAGAAGCGGCCGTTTCTGGTCGGGCCGCGGTGGCCCGGTGGCCGTGCCAGCGCGCGTTGGGGGCAGGACTGCCGACCTCGATCCCTCTAGAGCTCCGTTCTTCCAGGCGCACCAAGCATGCTCCTCTGTCTGTCACTTCAGTGTTTCATTCTTGGTAGAGCTTTAGGTAACCCTGCTTTAAGGACAGGCTTCTACGTGGGTTTAGTATATTTTGGGGATTCCACAGGTTAAACCCAAATCCATGAGGTCCAGTTTTGGTTTTTTTGTTTTTTTTTTTTTTTTTTCCTTCTCATCATCTTCCCTCCTTCTTCCCTGCGCTTCTCCCAAATTGAAGTTGAATTCAAGTGGCAGAAATACTTGCCTTACTACTT